AAAAAAAACAACTGTATCTCACTCTCTCTCTCTCATCAAACAACTCTTTAAAAAAAAGCAATGATTTAATAAGAATTAAATGAAAAAGCAAAGAATTAATATGTATTTACAACTAGCTAGACGTCTATAAAATGTTCTAACCGAAAAAATATATGTGTATAAACCATTAGAATAGATAAAACCTTAAAAAACAACATTATTATTAAAAACGAAAGAAAAAATCTTGATATTGTATTGGTTTCACGGCAAAATTTTTAGTGACTACTTAACTTGCTTGAAAGTGAAGAAATACTCTCAAAATCCATTAATTTGCAACTCGCACTCGCACATACAATAATCGAGAGGCTCACTTCGGTAAAGCTATTCGATACATGAGACAGCAACATTAACAAACCTTCTCTCTCCCACAAAATGAGATTCATAAGCTTACCACTAGGTGGCACTGATACAACCTCACACAAATTAAACATATCATTAACATCGACTGAGTAATTAAAAAAACTCGCACTAAGCACAGGTACATTACCCATTACCCGAATAATTATAAATATCGTTAGAAAGCTTGGCATTTCAATTAAACGCCTTAAAAAAACCCTTGCGTGCTACCAATATAAAAGAAAAAATTATCGCTTCTCAAGATGAATAAACGTCCTGCAAATCAAGTAACTCGCACTCAGAGCTCCGCACGTTTCACCGTGAAGAGCGTACACTCGATGCGAGTCATTCGATTCGATTTTTGAAACTCGCACTAAGCCTACAGATATCTAGTGGCCGTAAAAGAGTGTCAGCTCTACCCAGAATCTGCGGGCACTGTAATGAAAGACGACGAAAACACCGTGGTGATAAGAAAGATATTAAGGAAAGTGATTGCCAATGTGTAGATATTACTAATAAACAAAATCTTTCCAAAGTCGATTCCGACAATAATTCTTCTGTTGTAGTAGATACCATACAAAACAATAACACAGACTCTCCACCACAACCACAGCCCCCTGTTGCAAGGCTGTTATATAACTCATCGATGCTGCTCCTTATATTGTTTACATTCAAAAACAGTTTTCATCTCCCGACGATAATGTTACTTTACATCCAGTTACATTTGTACGCTTTCTCAAAAGAAATTCTATTAAAAATATTGTGAATGGAAGTTTAAAAGGGATAGGCCGGAATATATTATCCATTTCTTTTTCTAAGTATCAAGATGCAAATTACTTTGTTGAAAACAAAAATTTAGAAAGTGAAAAATATAAGGCTTTAATCCATCATTTTCTGTCAGCAGAATAGGAATAGTAAGAGGAGTTCCAGCTGAGTGGTCCGAAGAGGAAATAAAAGATAATGTTTCTCTTCCTGTTGGCTGCGGCCCAATCATAAAAATTAGGAGAATAAAACGGAAGATGATGATTGATGGACAAAACCATCTTAAATGTACTGAGTCTGTAGTATTTACTTTTGATGGTCAAATTTTACCTAAACGTGTTTATATGTGCTACACAGCTCTTACTGTAGACTTGTATATATATCCTAGGTGACTGAAGTTAGCCCCTCAAAAAAACTTTTTTTTCCTGTTTTCTACTTATTTTCTATTAATTCGTTTGTTCATCATTTGTTCTTGATTGTTCACTGTTAATAATTGTTTGTTCTGCATTTATTTATTTTAAAAAAATTATTAAAAATATATCTACAGGTTAGCCCCCCGATTGCAATTTTTAATATTTTTTCGTCCTTAATGACTCGTAAATATTCATTTTCGATTGTTCTTATATAAAATACATTTGTTTTCTTTCGAAATTACTCATTTTTTGTTTAATTACCTATTTGTATTCTATACTAATATTATAAAGAGGAAAGATTTGTTTGTTTGTTTGTTTCGAATAGGCTCCGAAACTACTGGACCGATTTGAAAAATTCTTTTTCCATTAGTAGCCGACATTGTCCCTGATGAATATAGGCTACTTTTTTTAATTTTTTTTTTTTATATTTTTGGTTTCATGTGTGTTTTAATGTTTCCGAAGCGAAGCGAGGGCGGGTCGCTAGTAGTTGAATAAATGTATGCAAAATATGTGTACTGCGCATGCGTCAACTATAATGCCTAAGCTTTCTACGCGGTTTTAATCGTGAAAAAAAAACCAATTATAAATCCTGAAGGGTCAATTAATTGGTATACAGTTTAATTAAAAAAATTTAAAAATAAATATAATAATGTGCATTCGCGTAAAGTTAGACCAAATACATTTTTTCCATCCTCCTATATACCTATCGCTATGAAGGTATAAAAAAGATAGGTTAAGAGTTCACATAGGTAATATAAACAAATAAGTAAATATGTTCATTATTTATCTTTCAAGAGATAATGTAGGATGTGTACCTATAGTTAGTTAGTGGAAGTAGCCAAAATGGGCAAGTGGACCTCAGTTCCTATTACATAAGGTACTAGGAAATTTGTGATAATGAAAATTTATCACAGTGTAATATCACTTACATAATTTAACAGTGAAGGAAAACATTGTGATGAGACCTGCACACCTAAATGTTCTTACGATTATCTTGTATTGCATATAATTCTCCATGTCGTTTTCCAGCTAAAACATGAAATAATTTTCCAACACTTTCAATACATAACCTATAAAAAAAAATGTTATTTTACTAATGTTAGGAATATAATTTCGACTGTGTAAAAAAGTTATTATAATGTATACCTACATTATCTCTTGAAAGATAAATAATGAACATATTTACTTATTTGTTTATATTACCTATGTGAACTCCCTATCTTTTTTATACCTTAATAACGGAAAGTAGGAGGATGGAAAAAATGTATTTGGTCTAACTTTACGCCAATGCACATTATTTCATTTATTTATTTTTTAATTTTTTTAATTAAACTGTATACCAATTAATTTCTCCTTCAGGATTTATATTTGTTTTTTTTTTTCACGATTAAATCCGCGTAGATAGTTTAGGCATTATAGTTGACGCATGTGCAGTACACATATTTTGCATACATTTATTCAACTAATACAAATAGTTAATTAAACAAAAAACGAGTGATTTCGAAAGAGAACAAACGTGTTTTATATAAGAACAATTGAAAATGAATATTTACGAGTCATTAAGGTTGAAAAAATATTAAAAATTGCATTAGGGGGCTAACTTGTTGGTATATTTTTAATTTTTTTTTTTTAAATAAATAAATGCAGAACAAACAATTATTAACAGTGAACAATCAAGAACAAATGATGAACAAACGAATTAATAGAAAATACGTAACAACTAGGAAAAAAAATTTTTTTAGGGGCTAACTTCATTCACCTCTAAATAAGAAGCAAAAATTCTATGACATTTTCCGTTCCATCGGACTCTACACTACTCTACAGTTATTTTGATACTCAAAACTCTCGAATATATTAACACCCGTATCTTTAGTCGTTTACACGAGCTTAACTCGACTCGACTCAACCTCTAACGCGCGTTTTGGTATGATAACACCCGTATCTTTAGTCGTTTACACGAGCTTAACTCGACTCGACTCAACCTCCAACGCGCGTTTTGGTATGATTAGTCGTAAAAATAAACTCCACTCAAACGTCCTTGGAAAATTCTCCTAACCGGAGTGAAGTAAGCGAACTGTCAAGTCAAGGTACGTCGCGACGTACCTTGAACGTTCCTCAAGGCTGGTTTTCTATCAATGTCCAAATAGTATGTGGACCGCAAATGGAAATATATGATATTGTTGTGCAATGGCCTGGATCTGTGCATGATTCCCGCATATTTTGATAATTTAAGTTTGATAATATTTATTAATAAAGTAAATAGTTCGAGGTTAGACATTTGAAACTCTTTATTTTATTTACCTACATAAGAGACATATTTTGCTTACTACCTGATAAATAAAGTCAATGCGGTTATAAGTTTTATTTATATAATAATAAACTGGTGGTTGTGGAAAAGCACTTCAACAACACGATGCAACCAAAATCACACAAAAGTGGCTAATAAAAATACAAAGCCGGATCCGAAATCTAAAATAGTAATAGGTTAGAAAATAAATAATACACTTTCAGATTTACCGCACGCACACATATTTACGAATAACTCAGCAACCAAAACATCAAACAAGTTCATTTATTGTCAAACAGACAGCGGCAGCTTGACTTTGACATTAAACAATGACCATAGACTACAGAACTCTATGGGTTTGATGCTAGCTTGATCAAATTTTCATCATTATTACCTCACTCGAGGACAGTTGAGGAATATTGTAATGGTCGACTAAAATACCAAACTCGAGTAAGTTTGGAGGGAATGCTCGAGCATCATCGGATGAGTTAAGAGTGGAGGACTATTTTACGAAACGTCTAAAGATACGGGCATAAGTGTATAATCTATGCTCATAACTCAATTAGTGACTCTCGGGACTTTTTGGCGAGAATGCGAGGAGTGAAGTTGTGTGATTTGTTTTATTTTGTTATTTAGTGTTTCTTCGGATTTAAATGTGTAATAATGGTGATTTCATCATCATCATCATCATTTCAGCCTATCGCCATCCACTGCTGAACATAGGCCTCTCCAATAGATTTCCAGTGTGACCGGTCCATTGCCACCTGCATCCAACGAGACCCAGCGCTTTTTACTAGGTCGTCGGTCCATCTAGTAGGTGGCCGTCCCACACTGCGCTTGCCAGTACGTGGTCGCCACTCCAGGATCTTTCTGCCCCTGTTGGTTTATTAGCCGTTTAATATCTGTGAAAGTGCACAAATGTGGGAAAATGAAACAAAGTCGCTGGATGTAACTTCTCGGGATCCTCCAAAAAGTCCACTGAAAAAATCTTAGTAAATGACCACCGTTTTACTGAGATTAGATTTCATCTCATATCATCTCATTTAATTTCACCCCAGTTGATTAATGTCTCAAATTAATCATTTTCATTTAATTTCACTCCATGATATCATTTTTCATAAAATTAAGAATATAGATTAAAATAAGACATGACTTAAAGGTCTCAGATACCAGGTCATAAAATCTCTTAAAAAAAAAAAGTGACTCTTGGAGAACTATTGGCTCATAGACCTATTGGCTTGGTTGGTTTGTGATTTTGAGCTTGATGAAACAAGAAAACGACACGAGAAGGAGGTCGGAGAAGACGTTTACATCCATAAGTGCAGCCTGTGAAATAATGACATCAATTTTGCGTTATGTTCAGTGTGGTGCAGATTATTTGGAAAAAATTTAAAGAGCCATTACCCACAAACAAACTGGTGATTAAGACAAAAAATGTACAGTTTTTAAATGTAAATAAAATAAGAGCCAAATTACAAAAGATACATGTTTTTGTATGTCCGGTCTGTTTCTAATTTTTGTTCTTTAAAAAACAGAACTTGAGACATTCTCGTGTGTAACATTTCAATCGAGTTAAGGTTTTTTTAAATGTTTTATTTAAAAACAAAAATGCAGGCAACTATGAAACCTTATGTTTGTAAAGTCTGTAAAAAATGTTTTGTATTTAAAGAGAACTTTAAAACGCACATGAAAATGCATCCTTCTGAAAAACGTCATGTTTGTGAAGTGTGCGAAAAACGCTTTTCACGAATGGGTGATTTAAAAACACACATTAGAATACATACTGCGGAAAAACCATACATTTGTGAAGTATGTAGAAAAGGTTTTGCTCAAATTGGTCATTTAAAATCACATCTAAGAATACACACTGGAGAAGAACCTTATGTTTGTGATGTGTGTGAAAAAGGCTTTGCCCGAAATGGTGATTTAAAAGCACATATAAGAACACATACTGGAGAGAAACCTTATGTTTGTGAAGTCTGTGAAAAACGTTTTGCACAAAATAGTTCCTTAAGAACACACATGAGAGCTCATACTGGAGAAAATTCTCATGTCTGTCAAGAGTGTAGTAAAGGCTTTGCACGCCTATCTAATTTGATAATTCATATGAGAATACATACTGGAGAGAAACCTTATGCTTGTGATGTGTGTGAAAAATGCTTTTCACGAATGGGTAATTTAAAAATCCACATGGCAACACATACGGCAGAGAAACCTTATGTTTGTGATATGTGTAAAAAATCTTTTGCACAGATGAGTTATTTAAAAAAACATATAAGTAAAACTGCACACTGCTGAAAAACTTTTTTTGTGAAGTGTATAAAAAATACTGCAAAATTTCATTGTTTAAAAATACAGATGATAACACAAAGCAGAAAGATATTTCACAATTTGCGAATCACAAATTTGTCCTAAGAACACATGGTAATGAATACACACAGTCGACAAACCTTCTGCTTGTGAAGTATGTACAAAAGGTTTTACACATATCAGTCATTTAAAAACACATATAAATATACATACTAGAGAAAAAGCCTTATGCATGGAAAAGGTCTTTCAAGGATTGATAATTTTAAATCACATATGAAAATACATATTTGAGAAAAACAGTATGCCTGTGTAAAGTGTAACAAAGTATTTGCACAAATTGATAGTTTTATAATGTATCTGAGGATACATACCATAAAATGCCTGATCTTTGAAAGAGTGTCTAGGTTATTATGTTTTCCTTTGACATAAATACAGAATGTCGTATACGACTTGTAAAGAAGAAATGCTGAAGCAGTAATGCGTTTCGGTTTGAAGGGCAGGGCAGCCTTTGTAACTATACTGAGACCTTACAACTTATGTCTCAAGGTGGGTGGCGCATTTACGTTGTAGATGTCTGGACGCCAGTAACCTCTTAACACCAGATGGCCTGTAAGCTCGTCCACCCATCTAACCAATAAAAAATTGTTTTAAAGAGATTTGTGTTTGTATAGTTTTTACTTCTTACATGTTTTATATTCTTTGATTTATCTCAATAATTTGTAAAAATAAAAAAATCTTTTATTAATTTACACTTCTCTACATAAATAATGATAAAAATATTATTTATTCTATTCATTCCTTTAGAAATACAGATGGCTGTATAAGCAAAAAGGCATAAGCCTTAATAGTGTCAAGCTTATTGAGAATAGATGTCACTGGCTGTGAAATGTATTTTTTCAAGGGATGTTATGACCTGGTAACTTTAGTCATGATTTTTAAGTGATGTCTTATTTTAGGTTTTATTCTTATTTTTATTAAAAATGATGAAATGAAATGAAGATGATTAATTTGAGACATAAATCGACTGGGATGAAATCAAATGAAATGAGGTGAGATGATGTGGGATGAGATAATCTCAGTAAAATGGTAGTCATTTACTGAGACTTTTTTATTGGACTTTTTGGAGGATCCCGAGAAGTGACGTCCAGCGGCTTTGTACACTTTCACAGATATTAAACAGTTAATAAACCACCCATAGTACACATTTAAACCTAAAGAAACACTAAATAGACAAAATAAAACAAATCACACACTTCACTCCTCGCGTTCCCGCCAAAAAGCCCTGAAATGCATTTATTGCAAATGCATTTTAAGGGATTTTATGACCTGGTAACTGAGACCTTTAAGTCATGTCTTATTTTATATTCATTTTTTTGTGAAAAATGATATTATGGAGTGAAATGAAATGAAGATGATTAATTTGAGACATTAATCAACTGGGAAGAAATTAAATGAAATGAAATGGGATGAAATATATTATAATCTCAGTAAAATGATGGTCATTTACTAAGATTTTTTCATTGGAAGATCCCGATAAGCTACGTCCAGCGGCTTTGTTTCATTTTTCCACATTTGTGCACTTTCACAGATATTAAATAATTAATAAACCATGATTACATATTTAAACCCGAAGAAACACTAAATAGACAAAATAAAACAAATCACACAACTTCACTCCTCGCGTTCCCGCCAAAAAGTCCTTTTTAAGAACAAAGATCTTAAAACACACAGATTATACAAAAGCACGTATTACCTACAGGGCTTCGTTTTTATTTATTTATTTGTTTTTTATGATCAATCAATCACCAATAGTCGTCGAACAAACGATAATTGATCAAAATGAATTATTCTGAGCGATAAATATAAAGATATCTAGTAAGAAGGGGCAACTTAAGGGTGATCATTTGATAAATAAATAACAGACGAATAAAATTTTTTTACATTCGAACATTAACGAACAAATGACGAACAAATAATTAAAAATAAAAAATCTGAAAATCAAAAAAAGGTGGCGTGAGGTGGTGGTTTGCTTTGCTCGACTTCTACGAGTCCACCATCTCGCAGAAGGAGGTGGCGGAACGAGGAGGGAGAGCTCTTCCCTTTCCGCACCGATCCGTCGCCGTCGAGCCGGGGGCCGGAGGCGGGAATACGCCCGTACGTCCCGGCCCCTGTAGGTAGCGGCCTCCCCCCGGTGAAGGTCAAGGGGCGACCTGAAAGGGTAGAGGCCGCGCGGCGCGCTACTAGCACTCTAACGCGCCGCCGAGGAGTAATAGAGCGACCGGTTGGTGGTGTATCGCGTCCCGACCCGGCAGGCTGGTTCTGGTCCAGCAGGGTATTCTGGGACACCAGCGGCACCGGCCTGACGGGCTGTCGTACCGAGACGGCTGACGTTTTAGAGCCTTCGATTTGCCTCGAAGCTTCCGTCGGCTGGGCGTCCTTGGGGTGAGCCGCGCCGTCTGGTTGTAGTGTTGACCGCGGTAACCCCCCTACCTCAACCGGATTCTGGCCTCGGAGGGGATCGGACGTCGGGTGTAAGAGTGCAGGGGAGTCGTTTAGTGGGTGGGCCCTAAAATCCTTGGGCCCGCGGTCTGCTCACAACACCATGCAGATCGTTGAGTCTCACTTACCCCGCGCACCCCTTATGCGCGGGAACCTCGTAGGAGGCTCGGCCCCCGGCTCGAAAAAAAAAAACCAAAAAAGGTGATGGTTTGCTTATTAGATATAAATTAATTAATAATTGGGAATGTAATTGTTTTTATGATCGAACAATCACCAATAGTCATCGAACAAACGATATTTGACCAAAATGAATTAATCTGAGCGATAAAAATAAAGATGTCTAGTAAGGGGGCCCACTTAACGGTGATATTTTTTTTTTATAACAACGAGTGGCAAACGAGCAAGACGGGTCACCTGATGGTAAGTGATTATTTGTTTAATTAATTATAAATAAATAAAAGACGAACAAACAATTTTTACATTCGAACATTAACGAACAAACGACGGACAAATAATTAAAAATAAAAAAAGCCAAAAATCAAAGAAGGGGGGCCAAATTTACATTTTTGTTTTTGGAAGTTTAAATAGATATTCAATAGCCTTAAAAATACCATAACATTCCCCAGTAAACACGGATGTTTCCGGAGGAAGTTTGATTTTCTGTGATATTTTAAATTGAGCATAATAGACACCTACACCAACAGGGTCAGAAGAGGAGTGTTTAGACGCGTCTGTGTAAATATGATGGTAATCAACCCAAACAGTATTTTTGAAAAGATTAAATGAAAATTTTGTACAAATATCGTGCTTGTTTAAATCAAAGTTAAAATTAATTTCTGGAAGAGACATTAATGCTTCAAAGCTAGTATTGAAAAGAGGGTAATTAATGGATCGATGAATAGGAGCTTTTATGTTAATAAATTTCTTAAAAGTATTGATTAGAAAAGGTGGTTTTTTATGTCTCCAATATGCAGATGTATCTATACAATGAGAAAGTTGCTGAAGTTTGTTATGAAGAGAGTGGTTAAGAAACTGAAAAGATCGGAATATAAATTTGTCTGCTAAATATTGACGACGTAGATGTAGTGGAGGATCACGACATTCTACTTGAAGAGCATTGATAGGGCTTGACCGCATAGCCCCAGAAACTTTAGACTGTATGAGATCTAATTTTTTAAATGCCTTAACACTCCCAGGCTCCAGCAAGAATGTACCATAATCTAACATACTTCTTATAAGAGCATTATATAACAATTTCATGCAAAAAGGATGAGCACCCCAACTTTTTTTTTTTTTTTTTTTCGGGTAGAGGGCCGAACCTCCTACGAGGTCCCCGCGCAAAAGGGGCGCGCGGGGTATGTGAGACTCAACGATCTGCATGGATGAGCACCCCACCTAACACCTGACAAACATCTTAAAATATTAAGAGCATGTTCGCACTTAGTATTTATGTAATCACAATGTGGGATACCAGTTAGTTTCGAATCTAAGACAATTCCCAAATACTTAACATTAGCTTTGACTGGAATCTGACTATCCTCATAAAATATAGAAATAGGAGGAGGTGTTCTTGATCTCGCGAATAAAACTATTGTACTTTTTGCAGGTGATAGATCAAGGCCATTTAAGTCCAACCAAGTTTTTAAATTTATCAGCGATTGTGTTACAGACGAACTAGCTTTTTCAATAGATTTATCACAACAATAAATTAATAGATCATCAGCATACTGAAGAACATTTACACTATTAAGTGATGATTTTAAATCTTGAGTATAAATATTATATAATATTGGACTAAGTACTGATCCCTGAGGAAGGCCCTTTGAAACAAGTCGAGTAATTGACTTCCTGTCATCTAGTTTCAGGATTATGTATCTTTCGGAAAGCATGTTTATGATAAACTTTGTTAATAGCAGTGGTATATTAAATTAGAAAAGCTTACTCTTTAAAATACTTATCACGACGTTATCATACGCACAATTTATGTCTAAGAACGCAGCTATTACTGATTTATTATTTGAAAATGATAATTGAATATCAGAAATGAATATACAGTCAAAATCTGTTATAACGACATCGAAGGGAGTGCTCATATTCAGTCGTAAAAACCGATAGTCGTAACAACCGGTGATGTTTAATGTGTATCGTGCGAGTACAATCAAATCGATAGGGAATTATTGGAAAAATATATTTACATAATACGCGATTTCTCTTCAATATTAATTTGTTTTCTTTTTCTTTGCGACATTTTGAAAGTTTCACGAATAACTCCACAAAGTTTTAGTGCGTCTTGTATATAGATAAGTAACTAACTGAAGAGATATGAAGAGGCGGGCTTTGACTCTACTGCATGCGCGTATTTTGTTTCTAAGAAGTATAAAATACCCTACACTAAACTAAATCCTATTGTTTTCTTTCCTGATTTTAATAGCCATTGAAGACAAATGTGGATACCTATTCAAATTGTTTACAATACAGCTTAGCCGGTCGTTCTAACAGATCAAATTCTCCGAAATATTAGTTAAATGTGGTCGTTTTATGAGGTATGTCGTTATTAGCAATGTCGTATAAAGAAATGTTTTTAATAAGGCGGTCATATAGCATTCAGCCGGGACCTTTGTTCTAGATTATTATTACCGGCATGTTGTTCTAAACGATGTCGCAGTAAACGGTTTCGTGTTTTGACTGTACTTAAGCTATCAATAGTACTTTTCCCACGTCTAAAACCAAACTGGGATTCACACAATAGACCGTTATGCTCAACAAACCATTCTAAACGATTTTTTATAAGATGTTCTGTAATTTTCATCAAAACAGAAGAAAGTGCAATTGGGCGATAGGCAGAATGGTCTGTAGAGCACCTATCAGGTTTCAGAACGGTAATTATTTCTTGGCGTTTCCACGAGGAGGGGATGTTACCCGATGTCACTATGGAATTTATAAGAGATAAATAATAAAATAAAGCATCATCATTTAAATGAGAGATAAAGGAATAAGGGATACCGTCCAGGAGCAGAATCCTTAACATGTGACAATACACCTTTTAATTCAGTGAGAGAAAATAGACTGTTTAGATCAAAACAGTTGTAATTATTTATATTTATTATTAAGTCTTCGGGAACGAAAGGAGGAGCTAATTTATCTAAAAAGCTATTAACTAAATGAGAAGGGATTGATTTTGGAGATGAATATTTGAATGCAGATCTAAACCTCCTTATATTTTGCCATACAAGAGATGGTTTGACATCAGGTGATATGGAATAGCAGAAGGTTTTCCAGCCATCAAATTTCTTTTTCTTTAGAAATTTTGAAGTTTCTGCCATTATCTTTGTAAGAATTTCAAAATTCTCAACAGTGGAACATTCACAATATGTAATTTCGGCATATTTTCTTCTCTTTACTGCCTGGGTACATTCATTATCCCACCAAGGAGGGGAAGGAATAAAACCCAAAGAGCTATTTTTAATAGGAAAAATTTCATTGGCAACCTCAACAAAGATTCTTGCCAAAGAATCTGCACACTGAGATTCTGTACCTGGATTAATTTTTGGAAGTGTAATAATTTTGTTTTTTATTAGATCTTTGTATAAATCCCAATCAGCATCATTAAGCTTATATTTTAGACGAGGAGAATATGTTTTATGTAATACTTTATTGTTGTTATTGCAGGTTGGAATTGATAATAATAATGGGAAGTGATCACTACCAAAAGTAGATCGCAATGGATCCCAGGACAAAGAAGAAGCAAGATTAGGTGTAGTGACTGTTAAATCTGGAGAACTTGGGCCCTCGTCAGGATGAGAACGTCGAGTAGGACGACCATCATTTAATATACACAAATTCACTGAATCAAATATATCTATTAATGTGTTACCATAACTATTAGAAGATAAGTAACCCCAGGATTCATGGCGACAGTTAAAATCGCCAAGGATCATAAAAGGCTTCGGAAGAATGTAAATAATATCTTTAATTTCATTCAAGATTGCAGAAGAAGGATGAGGTATATAAATATATACATAACAGATATTTTCGACTAAAGCAGCAATAATAGAAAAGTTATTACTGTGAGAAGGAATAGAAAAGAGAGAAAAAGAAAGGGGGTGTTTCACAAGCATGGCTACTCCGCCATGCCCATCTACACGATCTTCCCTGAGACATGAATAACCACGAATCTTAAATAAAGATCCTGGTTTCAACCATGTCTCTTGAAGAGCACAGATATAAGGTTTATATTTATTTAATAAATAAATAAGATCACTTTTATTAGGAGTGATGCTTTGACAATTCCATTGAAGAACTTTGTCCATTCTTTGGTTTATAAATTTGAGTAATTGCAGAAACTAATAAGGCAGCGTTGGACGGTGTAAATTCATTCGATTGACTAAGAGATTTTATAAGAAAGATAATTAAATCAATTACTGGGGTTTCCGATGGGTTTTCATTTTCTTTGTTAATTAATGCACATCCATTGGAGGGTTGGGGAATATTAAAATCCCTTAAAATTTCTTGGTGAGCTGATTTGTCATACCCTTTGCTAAGTGTAGGTGGAGGCTTTGGTTTATCAAAACAGTTTTTTTTATATGAAGTACTGTTCATAGCTTTAGATGTAGGATGTTGATGCTGGGTTGGAATAGTATTAGGAGTGAGGTTAGGTGATGAGAGTAATGCATCTGCATAAGAAATTTGAGAGACGGATGTAGCTTTGAAGCTTCTGAATAGGAAATACAGCTTTTAGCCATTGATTCCTTTATAGCTCTTTGTCTTTCATATTCTAAGCATTTTTTATCAGTTGCAATATGGGACCCCTTACATAGACAACAAGATATAAAATCTTCTTGAATGGAGCAGTTATCACCACTATGTCCTTGACCACATCTAAAACATCTTGGTTTAGATCTGCATTGAGATTTGACACTACTGGTGGTACTTAGGACCTCTTGTGAGTCCGCGCGGGTGGGTATCACCACCCTGCCTATTTCTGCCGTGAAGCAGTAATGCGTTTCGGTTTGAAGGGTGGGGCAGCCGTTGCAACTATACGTGAGACCTTAGAACTTATAGGTATCTCTAGACATCAACCCAGCGAAAAGTACTGCGGTGCTATTTCAGAGGGGAAGCTCCACACGGATTTCCTCCCGGATTAGGAGGAGGAATCTCACACCCCCGATTACTCTCTTTAGACAACCCATACCCTGGGCCAGGAAGGTCAAGTACCTGGGCGTTACCCTGGATGCATCGATGACATTCCGCCCGCATATAAAATCAGTCCGTGACCGTGCCGCGTTTATTCTCGGTAGACTCTACCCCATGATCTGTAAGCGGAGTAAAATGTCCCTTCGGAACAAGGTGACACTTTACAAAACTTGCATAAGGCCCGTCATGACTTACGCGAGTGTGGTGTTCGCTCACGCGGCCCGCACACACATAGACACCCTCCAAGCTCTACAATCCCGCTTTTGCAGGTTAGCCGTCGGAGCTCTGTGGTTCGTGAGGAACGTTGACCTACACGACGACCTGGGCCTCGAATCTATCCAGAAATACATGAAGTCAGCGTCGGAACGGTACTTCGATAAGGCTATGCGTCATGATAATCGCCTTATCGTTGCCGCCGCTGATTACTCCCAGATTCGGCTTATGATAACGTTCTATTACATATTCTAAAAAGTAAATTAGATAAATTAAAGGTTCCCTATTTTTTAACTAATTCCATTGTAAATCTTCTTTCGGAGAGGAAAATTATTTTAGATGTTGGCGGCCCTTATAAGCAGGTATGGAGAGGTTTGCCACAGGGTTCTGTTCTGAGTCCTTTATTGTACAATATTTATACACATGATCTAGAAGGTTCAGTCGGAGATTCAGTTAGTTTATTACAGTATGCCGATGACTTGGTTATTTATGCCTTTGATATGTCTGTAAGTACTGCTGAACGATATGTTTCCTCCTCTTTATCTTTGCTAAAAATCTGGATGGAAGCAAATGGTCTAGATCTGTCTCCCTCAAAAAGTACCGTTGTACTTTTCACCAAATCCCGTACTCCTTGCTCACCTATTATAACATATGATGGCGATATATTACCCATTAGGAATCAAGTTAAGTTCTTAGGAGCTATTCTTGATTCTAAACTAACGGGTCAACCACACTGCGAATTTGTGGTTAGTAAATGTGAGCGAAACTTGAACATGCTGAGATGTCTCGGTGGGGTTTGGTGGGGTGCTCACCCGGCTACACTGAGGTTGGTGTATAATGCTGTCATTAGAAGTATACTGGATTTTGGGACCTTTTTCTTAGACCCAGGTAATGTGGCTGGCTTTAGAAAACTAGATCTCATACAGTCTAGGGATTGTTTCTGGTGCCATGAAATCGAGCCCGGTTAATGCTCTGCAAATAGAATGTTGTGACCCGCCTTTAAACTTAAGACGTCAATATCTGTCCGATAGATTCATTTTTAGAATTGTTCAGTTCCATAATCATCCCCTCATTTCGAAACTAGAGTTTCTTTCTAAAAAAGTACCCTCTTCACATAAACCTTTACCTTGTCTGTTAAAAAGATTCCTGAAATTCAAACAATTACAAGCCCCAACTCATTCTTTTCAGGTGCTTCCTTTATTTGGCGCTTCTTATGATTCTCTTTTACTTTCTCCAGTGATTTGCTTTTCTCTTGGCATTGAAAAATCTGATTTTAATGCCAATGAAAATTTTAATTGCAATGTCAATAGTAAATGGCCTAACTGGCATCAAATTTATACAGATGCATCTAAACACTCCAGTGGGTGTGTTGGTGTTGGAGTGTATCACAAACAGTACAACATAGTTCAGAAAATTAAATTACCTCCGGAATCATCGGTCTTTACCGGTGAATGTTTTGGACTATTAAAAGCTCTTGAATATGTGCTGTCTTTCAAACTAAAAAAAACCGTTGTATTTACTGATTCCTTAAGTGCATTACAGAGCTTAGCAAAATTTTCACTAAAACTTAACCCTTTTTTTCATGTAATATTTGAATGTAAGAGAAAGCTGTTGCACTGCCAATCACACAACTATTTAGTATCATTTTGTTGGGTACCTAGTCACTGTGGCATATCTGGAAATGTGAAAGCTGACAGTTTGGCCAACAGTGCTACTGTGACCGGTGACGTATACCCGTACAAGAATTTTGGCCATGATCTTGCTGCTTTGCCCGGCATATGCCTCCACAAATCGTGGAATATGTGTTGGGAAGAGAGCGGCCGGATTAAGGGTCGTTTCTTGTATGCTATACAGTCTTCCGTTCCCAGGAAGCCATGGTTTGCCAAATTGTCGTTTGGTAAAACCGCCACTTCTACTATAATTCGTATGCGTCTGGGACATAACAGCCTTCCAGTTCATTTGCANTTTTTTTTATTTTTTATTACTCATGTTCTTTTTATTTTTTAATATATTTTACAATGATGTGTATTGGTCGGTCTGATGCTGGTGTGCGCGTCACTCCGCAGGTGCCGGCGGAAGATCAGCGCCGCAGTACCGATTGTCTCGATACTGTTAGGCATTGCTGAGCCGGTAACCATTTCCAAGCCTCGTTATTTTTGTTATCTTTTTTTATTTATTTTTTGTACTTAATTTGTGTTTGGAATAAATGTTTATTATTATTATTATTATTATTATTATTATTAAACTATAATTTTGATTTATTTTCCCTGTTATATAATTATTCTGATTTTTTTGTAAATTCAATTCGTTCTAAATCATTTATGTTTCGTTGCGATAAGTTTCCTTCGTTTTTTATTATTTATAAACTGTAAATAAATAAAACGGCGAATTATAAAAACGATAATACTTGACGCTGGCTAATGCACAAACCGTGCCAGAGCCAAAAAATAAAAAAAAATAAAAAGAAAGTTGTACAAATTAGTACAAAATGTTTTGTATTTAAAGAGAACTTTAAAACGCACATGAGAATGCATCCTTCTGAAAAACGTCATGTTTGTGAAGTGTGCGAAAAACGCTTTACACGAATTGCTGATTTGAAAACACACATTAGAATACATACTGCGGAAAAACCATACATTTGTGAAATATGTAGAAAAGGTTTTTCCCAAATTAGTAGTTTAAAATCTCATATAAGAATACATACTGGAGAAAAACCGTACATTTGTGAAGTATGTAGAAAAGGTTTTGCCCAAATTGGTAATTTACAATCTCATATAAGGATACACACTGGAGACAAACCGTACATTTGTGAACTGTGTCAGAAGTGCTATGCACGAATGGATACTTTGAAAATACACAAGAGAACACATACTGCAGAGAAACCTTATGTTTGTGAAGTGTGCGAAAGACGCTTTACACAAATTGGTGAATTAAAAACACACATTAGAATACATACTGCGGAAAAACCTTACATTTGTGAAGTATGTAGAAAAGGTTTTGCCCACATTGGTAATTTAAAATCTCATATAAGGATACACACTGGAGAAAAACCGCACATTTGTGAAGTGTGTAGAAAAGGTTTTGCCCAAATTAATCATTTAAAATCCCATCTAAGAATACACACTGGAGAAAAACCGTACATTTGTGAAGTGTGTCAGAAGTGCTATGCACGAATTGATACTTTGAACATACACAAGAGAAGACATACTGCAGAGAATTTCTTTTCTACTGAAGAGACTTTTCGCGAATGAGTAATTTAAATATCCACATAGCAACACATTTGGCAGAGAAATCTTATGTTTGTGATATGTGTAAAAAATCTTTTGCACAGAGGAGTTGTTTAAAAAAACATATAAGTAAAACACACTGCTGAAAAACTTTGTTTGTGATGTGTGATAAAAAGACTGCACAATTTCATTGTTAAAAAATGCAGATGATAACACATAAAGCAGAAACATATTTCACAATTTGTGAATCACAAATTTGTCATCTATGAACACACATGAGAATACATACATAAGACAAACCGTCTGCTAGTGAAGTTTGTACATAAGGTTTTACACACATCAGTCATTTAAAAACACACAAAGATACCTTCTAGAGAAGAAGCCCTATTATTGTGAATTGTGTGGAAAAGGTTTTTCAGTGTTGGTAATTTTAATTCACATATGAAAACGCATATTTGAGAAAAACAGTATTCATGTGTAAAGTGTAACAAAGCATTTGCACAAATTGATAGTTTAATAATGTATCTGAGAATATATAATATCATAAAATGCTTGATCGTTGCAAGAATTTCTAGGTTTTTATGATTTTTTTTGATGTAAATACATAATGTCGTATACAACTTGTAAAAGACAAATGCCATTCGGAACTTTATGGTCCTTGCAAAACAACTCATTATAACCTAGGCCTCATATTTTCTGAGAAATAAGCTTGAACACAGCCCTGCAAAGTTGTTGATTTTCTCTCTACTTTGTCCAAACAATAATAATACAGTTAAAATATATGTTTCCAAATAGACAGATTCCATACCCATGAAGTATTGGAGTAGCATTCATATTTAACCTTGTCATAAAAGGTCAAAAGTTTTATTTTTTATGTCTTGGAGATGGGCAAAGTTAGGCAGATTTTTTGAAGCAGTCATGCGTTTTGGGATTATTCGAAGCAGTAATGCGTTTGTAGATGTCTATGGGCTCCAGTAGCCACTTAACACCAGGTCGGCTGTGAGCTCGTCCACCCATCTAAGCGATAAAAAGAAACATGTACATACTTAGAACGAAATATTCGAGGGCTGTCATTATAGAAAATAAAACTACATATTATTGAATAAAAAATAAATTGACATTTTCTTTTATATTGCACCCGGGTAACAATTTGTACTTGTAATGCAATAATCAAAATACAATACGTTCATATCAATTAAGAAAATAAATGTAATTTTTTAAAGTACATCCTCATGTGGAGCGGTCATCCTCAGGTCAAGATTTTCAGGCATTGGTTTCCAAAGACAAATATCCAAATTTGAAGAAAATGTTTTGAACAACTGCTTTTGTTACTGCCATCTACAGGAGCAATGAGAAACTAATCGAATCGAAGCCATCTAGTAGCCGACGCCCGTAAACATTTTTGTTGAGTGCTTGAGTTGCTTAATTAGAACTAATTTATGTGTATTAACTATGAAATAGATTCTAAGATTAAACTTCACTTTTATGTTAATAATTTTAATAGAACAAATTAGAGTACATATTTGTACGCTGAACTATAATGTTTCATTAAAATTCAAGAAATTTCTTTGATAGATCGCAGAGTCGTTCGTCAGTTGTTTTTTTTTACCTATCGGATCGGAACCGCGACCCACTGAGAAGATCCGACGAGAGACTCGGTGGGCCTTTCATCAGTGAACAGTGGATTTTGGTTCTAATAAAATTGGCCACCCCTGGGTTATAGCCTTCCTCAATAAATGGGCTGAAAGAATTTTTCAAATCAAATTGTTGATTAATTTTAATATTTGATTTAATTTACGTTGATACGTAATACGACAAATACATTTACATCAGTAAAAAAAAACTTGCCATATTTGTATAATTTTTTTATTGTTTAGGTGGGCTGACGAGCTCACGGCCCATCTACGGCCCATAGATGGGCCCCGGTAACCATTTAGCATCAATTTTTTTAATTAAATATTATGTAGTTTTATTTTCTATAATGCTTCTATAAATGCCCTTGAATATCCTATTATAAGTAGGTATGTACATGATTTTTATTATTGCTTAGATGGGTGGACGAGCTCACAGCCGACTTGGTGTTAAGTGGCTACTGGAGCCCATAGACATCTACAAACGCATTACTGCTTCAAATAATCCCGAAACGCATTCTCCTCCTCCTCACGTCGTTTCCCCACTGCTGAGGGTCGTGACCATTATATGTCGTCAGGATTTTGCTCCTTGTAACGTCCCGCCAGCGCCTCCGACCATTGGCCGCATGAAGGGCGTCGTGGAATGGGATCTCTAGTGTGGTGCGGATTTGGTCGAACCACCTTGTCGGACTGCGCCCGCGCGGTCTCTTTCCCTCGATCTCCCTTGTCACGAATAGTCTCTCTAAGCTATCCGGTGTTTTCCGAGCAATATGACCGAAGTACTCGAGTGCGCGGCGAAGGCAGAGTGTGACAGTCTAGTCTTGATCTGCAGTTGGTCTAAGATAGACAGATTGCTTCTCTTCGCTGTAAAAGGTATCCGGAGAATTCTTCTCCAGCACCACATCTCAAAAGCATCCACGCGTTTGCGATCAGCCGCTTTAAGGGTCCAGGTCTCCGCTTCATATAGAAAAATGGAAAAGACCAGAGTGAGCACCAGTTTTATCTTTGTTTTGTGGGTAATGTTACGTTCTTCCAGATTTTACCGAGCTCAGTCATGGCTCCCTTTGCCATTCCGATACGCCGTCTTTTATTTTTTTATTGCCTTTGTAGGCAGACGAGCGTACGGCCCACCTGATGGTGAGTGGTTACCGTCGCCCATGGACTTCAGCAATGCCAGGAGCAGAGCCAAGCCGCTGCCTACTGCTTAATACTCTCCACAAGCCTCGTTTGAAGAAGGACATGTCATAGCGCTCGGGAAACACCGTGGAGGGGAGCTCATTCCATAGCCGGATGGTACGTGGCAAAAAGAACTCTGGAAACGCACTGTGGATGACCGCAGTGGCTCCAGGTAGTATGGATGAACTCTACTCCGGTGGCGGGCGGTGCGATGGTAAAAACGAGATGCCGGTATCATCTCGAACAATTCCTCAGAGCACTCCCCATGGAACATACGGTACAAAATACAGAGGGAACCGAAGTCCCTCCGCAGACCCAGAGGCTCCAAACGATCCGAGAGAATGGGATTATCGACAATCCGAACGGCCCTCCTCTGTATGGAGTCAAATGGAAGAAGCTGGTATTTGGGAGCCCCGGCCCAGAGATGGGAGCAGTACTCCACGCGAGGCCGGACTTGTGCTTTATAAAGCAAAAGTCTTTGTCCAGGCGTGAAGTACCGCTTCGCTCTGTTGAGGACTCCCAGCATTTTGGACGCCAACTTGGCTTTGCCTTCCAAATGACTCCGAAACTGGACATCGCTCGAAATGTCGACCCCAAGTATCCCAATACTCTCGGAAGGTTGCAGGGATACTCCTTGGAATTGCGGCGCCATGACAAAGGGGTCCTTCTTCGCAGTGAACGCGCAAACTTGTGTCTTTATCGGGTTGAATTGAACCAAGTTCAATTCACCCCATTCGGAGACTCGCCCCAGAGAGTTCTCCACTTCAGACACAAGTTTTGATCGTCTCTCTTGCACCACGCTCCGAGAGAGACTCTGATGGCCGATATATCGCGCATCCCCCGTGCTGTCATCCGCATAGCAATGCATGCCATCAATAGACAGCATGTCATTGATATACAGGATGAAAAGCGTGGGGGAGAGCACCGAACCTTGTGGAACGCCAGCGTTAATGGTCATGGTATCAGAACAGTCACCGTCTACAACGACCGTGATGCTCCGCCCATCCAAAAAGCTAGCGATCCACTTGCAGAGACCCTCGGGGATTCCGTAAGATGGTAGCTTCGATAGAAGTGCCCTATGCCAGACCCTGTCGAAGGCCTTCGCGATATCAAGGCTCACAGCAAGAGCCTCGCCCTTGCTCTCCAAGGCTTCAGCCCACCTGTGAGTAAGGTATACAAGAAGATCGCCAGCTGAGCGACCGTGACGGAAACCGTACTGTCGGTCACTGATCAGCTGGCGATCCTCCAGATACTTCAGGAGTTGTATATTTATTATTCGCTCCATCACCTTGGAAAGCAAGGAAGTTATCGCGATAGGCCTATAACTCGATGGGTCCGACCGGTCACCCTTCTTGGGGATAGGGTGGACGTGGGCGGTCTTCCATGAAGACGGAACCCTTTTAGTGCAATAAGAGAGGCGATACAAACGCGTTAGCGCAGGCGTCAGCTCAGGGGCGCACGTTTTCAGAACCACTGCAGGGATGCCGTCTGGCCCACTCGACTTATGGACGTCCAGGAGTCGGAGCTCCCGCCTGACTGCACACTGCGTGAAGCAGATCTCAGGCAGGGAGCTATCACACCGGGGGATGTTCGGTGGTGTGGCACCCCCGTCGTCCACGGTCGAGTTCGAGGCGAAGAGTTTGACCAGAAGGTCAGCCTTCTCTTTCGCACTATGGGCCAAACTGTCATCGGACTTGCGCAGTGGTGGGAGACTAGACCTGCAAAAGTTTCCTTCTGCAGCTTTGGCGAGCGACCAAAAAGCACGGCTCCCAGAGGGATAGCTATTTAGTCGCTCGCCAACTCTAGCAACGTACTCCGAGCTCGCCTTGGCAATAACCTTCTTGTAGGACCTGGAAGCGGCGTTATATTTCCGCCTTTCCTCTGAGATGTTAGGATCCTTTACGTCTCCTGGCATTATCCCATACCATGTATGCGGACCGCTTGAGGTGTGCAGCATCCCTGCTGACATTGTTATACCAGGGTTTACTGCGACCCCCAACGGGCACCTCAGAGGAGGGAATAAATAATTCCATCCCCTGGAGCACCACGTCTTTAAGACGGTCCGCACAGACATCAGGATCAGCAGAGGAAAAGCAGAACCGCCCCCAATCCATCCCAATCTGCTGACATATACTTCCAAATACCTGGTCGAACGACGACCAGGTATCGACGAGAGTGGTACAACAGCATGGATAAGGCAGTGATCAGACGATCCAAGTGGAGCGTCGACCACCACACTGTATCTAGCCGGATCCGTGGTCAGCAGAAGGTCCAACTGAGAAGGTTCGTGCCTCTCGATATCTAGGACACGGGTGGGCTGTGTCACCAGCTG